TTCCCTCTCCTCCCCCTTCTACTCCCCTCCTTTGCCTGTTCTCCCCTCCCGCACTCCTGGAGATAGACGCTCAAGCCTGACGCCTCTGAAAAGGCAGCAGCCGTCGCCTTCTGCACAGACCTCAGGAAATTCGCTTTGACCGATGCATGCCTCAAGCTCTGGCTCGAGCTAAGGGGGAATAACCGGGCAGGTAAAGAAGCTCAATTTGTGTTGGGGGGAGGGGATGGGGCGAGGCTAGCTCGAGAAGGATATCTTTCCCCATTGTAACCGAGCCAGGATCTGCCACAAATGCACAGGGAAGGATGGGTGGTGGGAGGGTGGAGGAGTGTAGATCTTGGTTCTTTTGCATGAAGCTTTTTAAATAGATGGTAAGAAGATGAGACAGTGGAACTGGGGTAGTAACTTAAAGACTGAATGCAGTGATTTATTAGCAAAAAAAGAAAATGGGAAAGTTAGAAACCAAAGCAATAAGATACATCTATAGCTACATCTTTCTTTCCCTTCCCCATCAGCTCCATGCTGTGCCTAGCCTTAATTTGTGCAGTTGACTCCAGGCTCTAAGACACTGCACTGGTATTAGAGATGGAGCTTAGAGACTGGGCGGGAAAGCCAGGGAGAATTTTGGGTGTGCATTGGTATTGAGGGACTTTGCAAAAGCCAGGGGGAAAAGATAGGCACTTCTAAAAATTCAAAGATTTCAGGTTCTTTATTATGGTTTATTGCAAGGTGCATGGAAAGGTGTGCGTGTGTGTGGTGTGTGTTACCGTAAACATACTAAAATAAATGCAACTGCAGCCGATGACCATACTATATCGATCCTTCCAGTGGCTTGGGAATGAATTTGATTCTAGAAATGAAAGAAAAGATTAATGAGGCTGTTAGTCTGCTTCTGAATTAGAGTGCTTCTTCCTTTGGCTGCAGTGAGGTTGTTTTTCAGATCCTTTTATTTTATCCTCTAATTTGTGAACTCACTAGGTTTTCTGGGCACCTAGAGAGAATCCTTTTCTCCATATAAATACAGATACTCTCTCACACACAATGAGCTTCCTCTAAGAACTGGGAGAGTCAGTTGACCTCCGCTGTGGTAAGAATATACACGTTTTTCCCCTTCTCTTACATTCCATAAAAAAATTGTCTAGGTATGCATCAGTGGAGGAGGGCAGGAGAGAGGTGTAATTAAAGGTTTTGTGATCTATGTACTATAAGTTAATAAAATAATTGGCTCCAACTGACTTACAAAAAAAAAATGGTTTTCTAACACACGAGCTTGTGGATGGTTTCAAAGCACTACTCTTGATCTTGAAATTCCAGATTTATTTCACAATGACTGAAAATTTCAGATTTCTGAGTCCAGTTAAAAAATGAAAGTATATTGAATAGTATGCTTAGAATGATTTTTAAGAGCACTTTTCTTTTGGCTTAGCATGGGAGTAGACAAGATATGGCTGCTGATTGCTGATGGTGTGGAATGTATCAGCCATAATAAATAAGCAACTGAGATCTTTATTTCCCTTTACTAGTGAGCAGTGTGTGTGTGTGTGTGTGTGTAGTGTGTAGTGTGTTGTGTGTGTGCTGAAAGAGAGAGAACCAGTCATCAATTTCATCTGGGGAAGAACTTGAAGTGGGATCCCCTAGCTTGGTGGCTCTCAGCTGACACCTGTAGGGATTGCTCTGTACTGAAGAGAAAGGCTCTCAGCTCCCTCCATGGAGGAGCGACAGCACAATGCAGTGCCATAAATTACTGCTAGTTTCATCTT